CTCTCCCACCGTGCTCCGGACCCGTCCTCACGATGGAACCGAGGGCTGGCAGCCCCCGGGGCAAAAGCCGTCGAGGGGACCACCCCAGGCCGGGCTGATCCCCCTCGACGGCTTTTGCCCGGAGCCCCTTTGCCCCGCTCCCCGCCCGCGGGAAGGGTGCTGGGGTCTGGGTGCGGGGACCAGCCGGGGTGGCAGAACGGGATGAAGGACGATTTCTTAAATTGTATTTCAGTGCGGGGTCTTTCCGGGTTAATGAGCTGACATCATGATTAAAGCTGACCATTTGTAATGTGTCGCGACCCTGTTGAAAAGCACTGAAAAGGTTAATGTGGTAAAACAGGACAGCACCTGCCCCTCGCAGGGAGAGGAGGAGCTGGAACACTTTTCCTAATCAATTAGTCCATTAATGAGTCTATCAAGTAGTTAAGTAGTTAAAGATTATGCCGCTGGTCTGGGTAACAGTCGTCATCTCGCTATACCTAATTATATTATAAGTACTTTATTCAATATACCAGACATAATATGGTGACTCGGAGTTAATGAAAATGTCATTTTAAAACGTCTTGACATTTGTCTCTATTGATTTGTATATTTCCATCTCATTCTTTGCTTTCCCCGATTTGATTTTTTTTTTTCTTTTTTGGCGGGGGAGGGGGCAGGTATGTTTTGGAGAGGAGGAACGACCACACCGGCGGGGGAACGGGGGCATCAACAGCCTGAACCGGGCCGCCTCCGCCGGCGGGAACCCCCGCCCCCCAGGCGGTACGGGCAACCCGGGGTTAATAACCCGGTGCCAGGGCCCCTGACAAGGCCAAGGGTATTGCACCTGGACACGAAAGCCACCAAAAAGCCCGGGATTTCCAAGCTGGAACGGCTCTTGTCACTCGCATTTCTCCGCGGGATGCCTTCCCCACTGTACCGGGGGGCTGCAGCAGCCCCCCGGTGTTGTTTTCCCGGAGGAGCCGCGGGATCGGGGGGGCGGCACTGGCCCAACCAGCCTCCAAACTCGCCCCATTTTCGTTAATCAACGATATTTCCAGGTGTGGCTGCCGGGCTGCGGGCTCCGGGGCAGCCCACGGACACGGGTGGCCCCAGCGGGGAGGGGGTACACCGGCCCCGGGCAGCCGTCGGGGCTCGGCCTCCGCCTCTCATCTCCGGAGCAGGGCCGGGGAAAGGGGGGCTCCAGGGCTCCGCAAACGGGGGTCTGGGGGGGTCCCTCGGGCCCAGCCGCGGTTCGGTGCGCTCCCGGGGAAGGTGGAGGACCCCCGTGGGGTCCCTGCCCAACGCCCTTCGCTCCCCGTTCCCTTGGGGGCAGACGTGCCGCCCGCGGATTTTCCCTGCCAAGGGAAGGAGTGGCGGAGGGAGAACTGCGATCGCTGTGATTTATTCCCCCCCACCTCCCCCCCCGGGGGGGAAGAGCCCCTGACTCCCGACTAAGGTTATTTGGAAATGCAGGAGGACATCCCCCCCTCCCTGCTCCCCCCCCCCGCCTTGCAGACCCCGGAAGGAGACCCAGGAGGCAATTCCTGAAACCTTCGTTATTGG